ATCTTTAGGAAGTTTACAAAAACAGAGCAGATACACAAAATGGCACAGCTGTGGATACGCTTACAGTACAGATCAGCCATATGGAAAAGAGCTTATTTTATTGGTGTCTCTGTAAACAGGAGACAAAGAAAAGTATAAACCCCAACTCATTAAATGAGAAATTGTGGCCATTAAATCTTAAGTTTCTTTCATCTGATATAGTTTACATTTGCACCCACATCATTGTCATCATAAACTAATGTGATAATCTGAAATCACATCTGAAATGATTAAAATAAGACAAAAAACAGTGTAAAATTACCCAAGAGGTAGATACATTGAGAAGAAAATTGAAATGAAGTGTTATAGAAATTAAAGTGTTATGAATTTGACCTTGAAAAATCACTTTGAAAGATTAGATAAAATAAACAAAACACTACAGCACACATTTTATAAATAAGGTATCTTCCAAAAGCTACTGGATGGTTCATTTAGGGACATCGTAGAACAGGTAACCTAATATTTATATGACCTAATTCTTCTATTGAACATCAATCAATCTACAGCGGGTGTCATAAGTATTAAACACAACTCATTTTTCTCAATAAATATATTTCTAGAGGTGTTATTGATATGATATTTACACCAGATGATGGTAACAACCCATGGAATCCACACATACAAAGAAATCAAACCATAGATTAAGTTATGTATAAATAACCTGGAATGACACAGTGAAAAATAATGGAACACGTAAAGTAAGGGAGGTGCAAAAAGGCACGGAAAGTCAAGACACCTGCCAAAATCTCTCAGTAATTAGAAAGAAATCCTGCCCCTTCCTTGTCAGTGCAAATTAGTAGCAGCTGGATCAGTCCCAAATGATGGCCTATAAAAAGTTGTCTCTGGTATCACACAAGAAACATCTCATGATGGGTAAAAGTAAAGACTTTATTGCAAACTATAATGATGGTATTAGTAACAGAAAGGATTTCTACACTTCTGCATGTTCCAGTGAGCATATTAAGGCCATAATCCGGAAGAGGAAAAAAAAAAATTTTTCACCATAAACCGACCACGACCAGGTGCTCCTTGCAAGATTTCTGACAGAGGAGTTAAAAAACATATCAGAAAAATTGTCCAAGAGCCAAACAATAAGTAATGCACTCAGCCGCCATGGCCTGTATGCACGTTCATCAGGCAAGACCCCATTGCTGAAGAAAAAACATGTTGACGCTCATTTAAAGTTTGCTGCACAACATTTAGACAAGCCTGTGAAATACCTGGTCAGATGAGACTAAAATTTATCTCTTTGGATGCCATAATAAAAGTCATGTATGGGGGTGAAACTGCACTGCACATCACCCCAAACACACCGTGAAGTTTGGAGGTGGTAACATCATGGTGTGGGGCGTTTTTTTTAATTGTCAAGATATTGGCACTGATGCCTGGTCTGATTACTAATTTCACAACCTACTTAGCCCCGCCCCGTTCTCATCACCCACCTGCATTAGTCTCTATTTAATCCCCCTTCAGACCAGTAATCAGTTCCAGATTATTATGAGCTGTTGGTAAGACTTATTCTAGCATTCCTGCATTCTGATTACCTAATCCTGACCTCTTCTGCCTCTCAACGTCTGAGCCTGTTTGCCTCACCTGTCTTCTGACTCCTGCCTGATCTCTGCCTGTTTGTGTACCGTACCTGGAACAGTGACCAGACTCCGTCCTGGATTCTTCCTCAGCACCTCACCAGATCTCTGTCCTCCTGTCTCAGACAACCGAGCACATCACATACATTGTTTTTGGCTTTGTCCTCTGGATTATTCTGCCTAGTTTTGCGAAATCTAACTGTTTGACCGCTTTGAATACTGGATCCTTCTGTTCTGAGTCTAGTACAGGCAACTTCAAATAATCGAAAGAAAGATGAATGGAAAAATGTACGGAGACAATCTTGATAAAAACAAATCTACTGCCATCATCCAGAATGATAAAGATGACACATGGGTGGACATTTCAGCAAGAAATTAACCCCAAACACACAACCAAGGAAACTCTCAGTTGGTCTCAACGAAATAAAATAAAGTTGCTAGAACGGTGCAGCCAATCACCTCCATTGAAACCAATAGAAAGTCTATGGAAATAATTTAAGAATAGCATTCCTAGAAGTGGCCCACGATTTGAAGACTGTCTGT